CTGGTGGCCAACGAGTCCAGGCAAGTCCCTGTTCGACTGGTAGCGCGTTTAAACTTTTTTCTTGATTGAATATTTCATGGCATAAATCAAGAAATATTCAATCAATTTTTTAAAATTTTTTGGCCGACCATAAAGGTTCTTGGGCATTCTGATTCACTTTATCCAGGAGTTGCTGTTGGGAACTAAGTGACTGGGGAACAGTGCTAATGCATTCGATCTGGCAACCAAACCTACCCCTCAAGTTGTGAGAACCAACTGGGCATTTCTGGATTGAAAAATGGGGCCTTGCATCTGGAGCTAAATAAGTTACTTGAGGTCTCACTTCATTTCAGGTGTTAGCCTGCCTCAGTTGGTAATAAAGCTTCTGACTCACTCGCACGTCTGAGTCAGTAGGTTGTGGGTTCAAGCTCCTTGTCGAGACTTTGACCTCACATTCTAGGCTGTAATACAATACAGTGCTGCATTGTTGAAGGTGCTGTCCGGATGAGACATTAACCCGAGTTCTGGTGGACTTCCAACAATCCCGTGGCACTATTGCAAAAGAGAAGGAAGTTTCTCTCTCCCAGTGTCCTGGCCAACAATCCCAGATTAAATATGTCCTGGCTGTTTGTGGGACACTGCTGCGGGCAAATTGGCTGCCGAGTTTGCTGACAAAATACATAGTCACTGCACTTCACAGCAGATCCTCCCTACATGAAAAGCATTAAATCAAATGCAAAGATTATTATTATTTTGTTGTGGCTCCCAAAGAATTATTTAAACTTGCAGAATGATGGCCTCCATTACACTCTCCCCACCCCATCCCACCCCCCCCCCACTCCCACTGGAGAATGCTTGCTCTAGCGCTCTGTCTATAGTGATATTGACTGGCCTTTAGCCAACAGCCATAAAGCCATCACAGCTCCCGTAGTCTGAGAAAGCTTCACATCACATCTGTCATCTGCTCTGGCTGTCTCGGGTTTCGTTGATCTATCGGACAGCGCAGTTCTTATTAAAAAAAAGTAACCAGCACAACCCAGCAAATACAGCCACTTGCCAAAGGCAGCATTAAACACATCGACAACATCTGGCTGGTGGTTAATAGGGACAATGCTAGGAGTCCAAATGGACCAGAAACAACCCTTCGCCCCACCACCCCTCCCCATCAGCATTCCTTTGGGCTATGTCCTGCACACAGCTGGGCTAACACCACAAACTCCAGCAAAGATGCATCAGTTGTCAATAACAACGACGACAAAGTACATTTGTAAAGTGCATTTCAAGTCGGGAGGACATTCCAAGGCGCTGAAACCGTCCACAAATGCAGGCGTTTAAATAACGTGTAAAATGCAACACAACATTTTCAATTTAGTGCAACGCATCCCGAACTGCACGCTGGGACTGTCATCATCACCATCGACATTACTGGAGTCAAACTGGAAACCCTCACAAGTAGGACCCTGATCTCCTGCCCTGACTCCATCATGTGCAGCAATGCTGAGCAGGAGAACGTCACTATCACTGCTTTCTTGACGGCTTATAAAAGAAAAGTACTGGAATGTAGCTGTGACTAACTGTTAGCGACCTGTGCACTAAATCTTTACCCCTTGGAAAGGAAGTGAGTGAGAGGAAATCAGCATTCTTTTGGGCTATGTCCTGCACACGGTAGGGGTGACACCAAATATCCCAAGCTGTTCCGTGAAACATCCTCGAAACGCTGCTCTCAATGAGGATTTACCCAGCACCGCTGCTCTTTAATTTATGCAGTGCGCTGGATTTCCAACTAACGCTGTGCACACTTAACCCCCCAGCATGCTGCTCTTTCACTGAGGATAACCTTGCAGCTTATTTCATTACTGTATTTCACTCCTTCACCACCTCAATGCTGTCTAGTTGTGTGTGTAGTTGTCTAGGCACAGTCTGATCTCGAGACTGCTAACACCCACGCTATTGTCACAGGTACAGATCTTGTTTCCAGCCCTTCTTGCTGCTTATCTCAAGTGGCTCTCCGATGATCTAAAGTAAGTACATTTAATTCACACCCACTATACTGTGGTCCAAATTTCACAATGAATTGCTGTTTGCACCATTGTGATGTGGTCTCTGCTCTATCTTGTGACACCTCGACGCTCTTAATCCGGACGCTATTTGAGAGGCCCCTTCGACTGCCAGGTTACCCAATCAGAAGCTGTCACTTTGCATGGGCAGAGGTGGAGTGAGGTGATGTTGCTTACCAGTATATCTGTCTAACACCCTTTTATACATACATCCTGCTGCCCAAAGCCTGAAGTCAATGGTATGAAAGGTAAGAGCAGTTTCAGCTAAAGGAGACAGCGGCAGTCAGTAGCAGGAAGAATGCTGCCTACAATGTTACCTGTTCACAATCTGCTAAATCAAACTTATTCCGTGAAGCACTATAACTGGAATGTTAAAGGGTATGCGGAGCATGTGGAGGGTGAGATTACATTATGTGGCTCATGTCCAAAAAAGACCAGTGAAGCCTGGATAGGCCATTGGCCTGTTTCATTGCTGTAACATTCTATGACTACCACAGTACTTCACATTCATGGATGTTTGTGAGTCTTTGCTCGAGCAAAATGTCTGCTGAGTTCGACTATATTCTTCCTTGGAATCCAAAGAGCAATCATTGTTTTTAAATTCCACGAGGTTATACAGGAACACCAGGAGGCCATTCAGCACATCAAGTCCACACTGCCATTTTATTAAATCACAAGGCTGATCTTCCAATCCCACACCTTTCCTTCAGACCCTTAATTACCAAGTAACAATCTAATTCTGGCAGAGACGTTGCTGATGTTTGTCTGTGGACTTAAACTTGTCTTCAAGTTAGAGCTTTTGGAAAGTACAGGACAACCAAAGCAAATGACTCTATGAGGCTTGGCTAAAAGCAAAACCCAGTACCATTTATACATAAAATGGTTGTGAGAATGCAAAATGAACTGCCTGGAAAATAATAATAATCCTTGCATTTGATACAGCGCCTTATCACGTCTTTGAAACGTCTCAAAGTGCTTCACAGAATTTACTGTAAAGTGAACTGATTTTCTATGCGGGTCAGTGCACAGTATTGTGCCATTCACAAACCTAGTTGCAACCAAACTGTAGTGATCAGAACCATAATCAGTTCCAGACCACCATAGCAGATCAGCTTTCATGAAAGGAAACTGGAAAGGGGAAAAAAAAGGTCTATTTATTAAAACAAAATATTTTTCAAAGCGAAGATTTTTTTCTCTCAAAATAACTAAAGTTGATTTCTCACATTCAAGCCAAGTTTAATTCATGGCAATAGGACGCATGGCAACACACTCAGACTCCGTCATTTCTTGTTGGGATAATTTGGCTGAGGTCTGTTTTTGCATTCTATGAGGAAAGCTTTTAAAGAAAACTTCTAAAGAAGCCAAAGCTTGTGCAAAAGGTATTTTTGTCCAGTCACCAAACTCAAGCAAAGCTGCTGGATTCCAATTCCTTTCCCCATACCTTCAGGGTTCAATGCTTCACTGGGTGCTATGCCACTCAGATCGAAAATTCTAGAAATAAATAGCTTTATTTTCCTCCTCAAGATTATTCCACACCAAGCTTGTCCCCCATCTCTCCCATGCCAACATAGCACTCTTAGACCCAGTCATTCAAGGATCTTTTTGAAGTGCTGCTCTCGTTATGCAGGAACACCAGGAGGCCATTCAGCACATCAAGTCCACACTCCCATTTTATTAAATCACAAGGCTGATCTTTCAATCCCACACCTTTCCTTCAGACCCTTAATTACCAAGTAACAATCTACCTGCCTTTTAAACAACCCAGCAGATTTTTAAAAAAAATTTAGGAAGATTATTATTGTAAAAACAATATCAATTTGGAATGCTCTGGTTTAATGATACTGCATTTGCGCACGTGCATGTATGTGTGTGTGCGCGCGCTCATAGGAATAGAAAACGATGGGGAAAGAGAAAAGTGAAGTGCTGTACCTTCCATACAACATTTGAACAGCACCTTGGGAACACCCGGTATTGAGGGCAGCTCATCATTATTCAAATCTCTTTTTCGGTCTTTATCATTTGAATTTGACCAAAATCCCCAATCCCAAACTCACCAATGAAAGGTACCTTACTAATAAAGGCAACATAGACCCATTTACTAACTGCAATGAATAGTTTCTACTGTACTAACTATCTCTCTCCTCAAGACAATCACTGAGAGCTACTGAAGCTCCAAAACCTTGAGGGAGGGAGGAAAAACTGGGGAAGGAGGATTTTAGAAGGCAGAAAACAGGTACAGAATTGCTAAAGATTTTCACAAGTACTGTGTCTTAAAACGGTTTCATTCTGGTTCTAAGCCTTGATTGACACACATTGTGACCAACATTTTAACAACAAACATTGAGATGAAACTAGGGTGGCTGGTCTGCTCTACGTACAGCATATTGTAGACATCTTAAGCACTGCCTAGCTTTCCACTGGGTGGGAATAAGGTGTGAATAAGGTTATCACTGTGCAAAAAGTGTAAAGCATTTTGCAGTTTTGCTTCAAAAAGCCCCTGAGAAAATACATATGGAGTGATTGATTTCAGCTTCTGCCACACCCTTTGTGAGGAAGGCAGGAAGAGGAGTTTGAAGCAGACTGGGAATGGGGTTCACACAATCTGCCCCAATAACCTCACTGACTTGAATCTCTGGAACCTGGCTACGTGGGGATATGCTGTATGTTTTCCTAGTGCAGAGCTTTGTGACAGGGGGCAGGGAAGCAGGGATGATGTAGTCAGTTTGGTTAATGGAAGAGGTGGCCAACACAAGCTATTTAGACAAGGAGGGAAAGAACTGTATACAAAAGCATGCCACTGAGCACACACTACAGGAAGAGGCGCTTTTCATGACACTGGTACAGCAAAGACAGATGTCAGATGCTGAGGTCATTATTTTCCCTTTACACCCTCACTGGTTTAATCACATTCTGTTTCAAAAGCCTTCCCAGGGACAAGAGTTTACAGAGTGCCCCCCGGCTGACCTTATCTGCTGCAGTCTCCACGTAGCACGGGTCCTGAGGGGCAGCGAGGAGAGGAACAAAGCCCGAGAGGATCTTGTCCTCCTCCAGAACAAGCAGGGTGAGGTCCTCATCCAGGTCCTTGTACAGTGGCACCTCGGACTGGTTGACAGCTGTGAAAATGTTACAGAACTCTGCCAGCATGGCCCACACATCCACGGCGATTCTGAAGGGAGGAAATTCAAGAGAGAGAGAGAGAAAAAAAAACAAGAGCCAAAGGTTAGGTCATGAGGGAGGAGAACGGCATGCTCAGCAAAGTGCTTTAGGATGTAAAGACATTGTTGATAATGAAACGTTCATACAGAACTAGAAAAACAGATGATGTTTTTGATTAGTTCAGTGCAAGAATAGTTCTGGATTTCATTCTCGAATGACTTAACAATTAAGACACAGAGTACAGGTGATAGATACAAAGCATGCTTCAGAGCTTTAATGTTATGTCAGCCAGGACACTCGGGTTATGGTTAGGCACAGAACAGTTTGCATTTATCCCAACATTAGTCTGGCAAACAAGTATCCTTTTCAAGGTGAAGAAATTCCATCCCAGCATCTGCACTCTCTCTTTTTCTGTCATGCTTGTACCACAATTATTAATACTGTGATTACACTGCTGAATACAAGTTGCTATAGTAAGATGCTACAGCAATGAACACTCTTTCTTAACATCCGCCTAGCTCAGTTAGTTGAGCACCGGACCCGAGATTCTGGCTTTGATGAATCTCACTGCATCCCACTCGGCCCTTCACCCTGCTGAGGTCAATAAAAATGAGTACCGTGTTATAAAACAAAATATTCCTCCGGGGGACATAAGGCAGGATCTCCCTTGGGGTTTAAGAACTAGCTTTAAGGAGACACAGCTGGCAAAGCAACACAGGTCTGCAGTAATCCAAGGCATTAATGTTTAGTTGACTACCCCGTGTCTTCATCAATGAGACTTACAGGTGCAGACATACCCTCAACCATGCAAGCCAATCCTCTGATGGGCACAGTTACTCTTATACATTTTAGTGCTGAAATCTAATGGACTTGAGTGACCCAGTTTATGCTGGATCATTTATCCTTACAATAACCACGATGTTTCAAATGCAACACAACGAATATTAAGATGTTCCAGGGACTCAAGAGCTAAATAAAGGTGCTGTGTACAAGGTGAAGCAGATAGACCTCCACACTCTCCCCACAATAGGGAGCAATTCTAGGCCACTTCCACAGGATATGGAAAACATCCGGTGCCCCCAAAGAGACCAGGGGAAGTAGCTACAGCGACACGCTTCAGTTTGCTTAGTGACAGGATTTTGTTTAGAGGTTTGTGCTAAAGGATGCGCATTGTACCTTGTCCTCCTGCCAATCAAGAGAGTGAGGTGCCAGCCTGTGCCCAGGTCTCTGTCAATGCCACCCTGAAACCGACTGCTGGGATTGGCACGGACAGTTCGTCTTGGTAGCTACTGGTTTTAAATTCTTCTACCATCTGTCTCCCCAAATTCCTGGTGAAATACCCTTCATCCCCATAAAGCCTCCAGCAGCAGATATGTGAAAATAGCATCTCAGCCACAACAAGTCCTTGTACCATCTTGAAATTATTATCTTTTTAAGAAGAAAAATACTTTTACGGGGGGGGGGGGGGAGAGAGAGAAAGAGAGAGGGAGTGGGGGTGGAGGTATCCAAAAAACTGTCCAGTTTCAAGAAGGGAGTTTATTTTTATTTTTAATACTATGATGTAATGGGAAGCAGAGAAGCATTTGGTTGCCAGCTGCTTCGCAAAGCGTTTCGAGGGTTAAAAAGCACAAACACAGAACTTTTCATGACCCCTGCGTACAGAGAAAAAAAAAGAGAGAAAAGAAATGATGTATTGCACTGGTCGCAGATAGTTTATCCAAAGCTGGCCGGGCAGACAACAGACGGATGTGATATGGCTCTAGTCTCATATTCCAGCCTCTCTACTCGCTTGCCCATGAGACGCTCCAGGCTCTACTAGCCTCCTCCCTGTGCCCCTCTGTTGACTCTAGATCCTTACGAGCCAAAGCCATTACACGAGTTAAGTCACATACAACTCGTGGGAGGCTGCCAAGAATCACCATTCTGCAGCTACAAGGCGGAGGGGGTGGAAAAAAATGAAAGATGGGGGTGAGGGGGGGGGGGGAGAAGAACCTGACACTGACATGCAGCAGTCATGTGACATGGCAGCAGCCACACCGCTCTCGGTGTGACCCAGATCCTGTAAATACTCGGTTGATCCCGAGAGCACCACAATGATTCCCATTATGTAACCCCAGCCGTGGGCCGACTGCCAAGTGCAAAACAAAGAGGACTTTCTGGCTTGGCTTGCTTTCTATTTTCCTATTCCAGCTCCGGGCCAAGGCGGTGTCATACAGCTGTGCAGAAGCTTACCAAGGGCTGAGCTCCCTGCCTGCCGCCTCTGCACCTCCAGCCAGCGGCGCTCAGCACCGACAGCAACGCAACGCAAAGCAAAGCTCGCTTCCTGCTGACTGGCATCGCGCACAACATTGCACTTTCATGTGAAAGGACGTGGAGTCTCGGAGAGGACTCGGGGGATGGGGGCTGGGGGAGGTGAGCACATGTACCTGAGTGCCCACACAAGCATCTTCAACTGAGATCAGCCAGAACTCTATAACATCTCACCTGTGCTGAGAGCGAAGTTTACTGAGATTGACAGGCGCAAAATGCCAAGCTTTAGAGTCAGTGAACTGTGACAATGGCAACACGGGAATAAAAGTCTGATTGATGTACCATGAATACACCTGTAGTGCAGGAAACTCCTATGTGTGTAACAGTTCAACCGGGTGAAAAAAATATGGAAAGGTAGGTAGCCAAGGCACTGTCAGTAATGAAGTCACAGCAAGTCAAATCACAGAGTTAGGAGATCAGCAACTGAGAAACAGACTTCAGGATGGACTGGCCCAAGCCCAGCTAGTTAATAAACACCTTCACAAGTTGGGACAATAGAGATCCGGGCAAAACTTCGGCAGAATTCCCAGGGGAATATTTCTGAAATCTTACCATGTGTTTACGTGCCATTTCGCTGCAACCCTTGGCTGTGTCACAGCCAAGTCACTTGATGAAGAGAGTGTTGCAGATACAATGTGCACACAATCACAGCAGTGATTCCAATTTTAGTGAAAGTGCCACACAATAATGCGCATTAAGAGCGAGCTCTTTCAAAAACTTATAAGTCATCATCGAAAAACTCTCAAATAAACTAGGTTTGCGGGACTGCTGAGCACACAACAGTACAAGGCAACTAAAATTTTAGTAAACGGTAATTAACTAACTCAGTATACTTAAGATTAATGTTACTCTTTCATAATGTCAAGCTCAGTAAGTCCTCCCAGGCAGTTTCTTTAATGATTCGGCTACATTGAGAGTTTAAAGTAAATATACTCAAAAAACGAGACAGAAACATGATCCTAATCAAATTTCTTTGCAAAGGATTTCAGTAGAAGATCCAGAGGCTGATTCTTTATCTCAGAGGTTCTAAAGGTGTGATTTTCCCACAAAATTCTCTAACCACTAAGCTACAGAACTGTAGCTCAGTGGTTAGAGCGCTCGTCTTGCAAGCAAGAGACCTGGGTTCGATTCCTGGCAGGACGAAACCTTGAGCAAGTTTCCTTACTCCACACACTGACGATAATCCCTCAAGAAAAATAAATAAATAATATTGGTCACTTCAATCCACGACTGTTTGTGGGATGCTGCTATGCACAATTAGCTGCCGCATTTCGTCCACAAATATGTAGTCAATTCACTTTACAGTATATCCTGTGAAGGGCTTAGAGACGTCTAGAAAACGTGAAAAGCGCTATATCAAAATGCAAAGATTATATATTATTAAAATATACAGTCGCTCCATTTTACAGTATATCCTGGGAGGCGCTTTGAGACGTTCTCCCAAAGTAAAAGGTGCTATATCAAAGTAAAATAATAATAATCCTTGCATTTGATTATAGACGTGGGAACATGTTTCAAAACACTTCACAAGATTTACTGTAAAGGGCGGTGACTGCATTTTTGTAGGCAAATATCAGTGAATACTTTACAGTAAATCTTGTGAAGCACTCCGAGACACATTGATGTGAAAAGGCAATGTATCAAATGCAAGGATTATGGTGTGACATAATGTGTGGGCTCTATGAAGTAACAATACCTGTTCAATAAGGCGAGGATCCCCACTTCTATTGGCAAGAGGCCGAAATGTCTTATGTCAGACCTGACAACATCATGGCAAGCACAAGGTCTCCTGCTTTCTCTCCACATCCCAACATAGGTCAAGTGAATCAAGTCAAGTACCTTTGATACTAGAACCCAACAATCGATTGACTGAGCTACCAGTGTGTAAAACAAATGGGAAAGAAAACCAGTAGAGTGTGAGCAATGTAATAAGTGACGTACTCTTTAGGCAGGACAAGGGAGTTTGGTGGTGGGTTCCACTCATCCGGTTGGCCCAACATCCAATCAGACCACACCTTTACACTGGGGAGCAACTCCTTCAGGTCAATGTGGAAGGCGGACACTTTGATGTCATCTTCCTCATCTTCACTGGAACGAGCTGCAACAACAGAAATAAAGGGTTAAGTAGTTGAAATCACCGGTAATGCCACTGTTACATACAAGCACCCACTTTAGGGACCTTGTATGGGCATATTCAGAAGCACTCTATCAGTGGCGAGAGTGCAAATATCAGTTTTATTGGTCTAAACACCTCCATGATGGCAGTATAAACAACAGCTTGCATCTATACAGTGCCCTTTACGTAGGATAACACCTCAGAGCACTTTACAATGTTGGCCCAGGCTTCCAAGCAGAGAATAATAATAATCCTTGCATTTGATATAGCGCTTTTCACGTCTTCTAGACCTCTCAAAGCACTTTACAGAATATACTGTAAAGTGAATTGACTGTTTATTTGTGGGTGAAACGCGGCAGCCAATTGCACACGACAGTGTCCCACAAACAGTCGTAGATTGAAAATGACCAATTTATTATTGTTTTGCTTTTTGGAGGGATTATTATTAGGCTCTGTGTGGAGTAAGGAAACTTGCCCAAGGTTTCACCCTCTGCCTGGAATTGAACTCAGGTGTCTCACTTGCAAGGCGGGTGAGGGTGAGGATCTTCGAATTCAAGATCCTCACCCTCACCTACAAGGCCATTCACGGCCTTGCTCCCTCCTACCTCTCCGACCTACTATCCCCCTACCTACCTGCCCGTACCCTCCGTTCCACTGGCTCTGGTCTGCTCCACGTCCCCCGCCCCAACCGCCCTACTATCGGTGGCCGGGCCTTCAGCCTCTCAGTCCCGAGGCTCTGGAACTCTATCCCCCAGTGCCTTCGCCTTGCTTCCTCCCTCTCCTCCTTCAAGGCCGGTCTCAAAACCTTTCTCTTTGACCGAGCCTTCAGCTCCCCTCTCGACTCTCTTCCCCCTTCTCGCTCCCTCCCATCCCTCCCCTCACCCTGACCATTTCCCCCCTCCTCGCTCCCTCCCCTCCCCTCACCCTGACCATTTCCCCCCTGCTCGGGTCCTGACCCAACTGTACAGCGCCTTGGGACGTCCTCCCGACGTGAAAGGCGCTCAATAAATGGAATCTTGTTGTTGTTGTTGAGTGCTCTAACCATTGAGCTACAGGACTCCACCTAGGACTTCACCTGAAGAAGTGATCGTAGGGATGGCTAAAGAGATTTTAAGACGGGACTTGAGACAGTTAGAGAGGGAGCAAGACGAGGGTTAGAGAAAGGCAGTTCCAGATTTTAGGGTGTATAATCTGAAAGATCGGCTACTGATGGTTGCTCGATAGGGCATGGATGCGCAGCAAGCACAAGTTAGCCGAGCAGAAAGGACAAACAAAGAAATTGAGGAGGATAAGATCAGAGAGATAGCTGGACATAGAAGGATTTATAGGTGATGGGGCTGAAATTGACCTGTTGGCAGACAGGGAGCAAGTGGAGTCTGGCAAGGACTGGGGTGATGGACATGTGGAGCTTGGTGCGCGTGAAGATTTTGGCGTTATCTGTTAACTCTATCTCAGTAAAGTGCAAATGGGGTGAAAGGTAACCATGCACTCGCTGCCAGTGGTGGATACGCAATTGCTCGCCCGCAGAATCGGTACACAGAGTACAACATGCTTCGTCTCCTTGACAAGCTGAGATCTGAGTAAGGCAGATGAGCCAAACTAACATCATTTCCATTGCAGTCAATGGCTGCTGAGCTAAACTGTGCCAGTTCAGATTGGGAAGCAGATGTTGGGTGCTCAACGCAGCTGGAAAAAGCTGATAGTTTTGGCAACAATTAGAAGAAAAACCTAAAAGCATGAACCAAAAGACAGTCGTCACCAGCAATGTACAACCCAACCTCATTAATATCATGGAGTAGGAACAATAGGCCATGGCATTTCGTAACCACTACTTTTACAAGTAATGTTCATGCAAATGGTCTTTTATGAAGATCTTTCAGTGGACATGAAACCTCGCATCTTCAACCGTGAGAGGACAAGCACATGGCATGTACGTCAGGCTCAAACTCCACTTAAACAAGAGCGACAACAAGAGCAGAACATCACTGATCACACTGTCCATTTTCAGTCAAGGCAAACAAGGGAAATGGTCATGACAATATGCGCACACAATGTTTCAGCCAAACTCTTTAAAATCCCAATTTTATATTTGAACAATGATTTTTTTTAACAAGCAGTGACAAGCTGCTCTCCAAACAAAGGCGGACGGACATCAGCAAGGCACTCAGCTCTGAAGCCTTTCAGCTGGATCCCCTTCTAAAGTTGGATTTAACAGCAAACAGAGGAAGTTACCAAGGATACAGTATCACTTCCTGTGCATCACTACATAGTCCCCAGAGACAGATTTGACTTAGATGCAGGCAACAATATACTTGGAACATGTTTAATGAAAGCAAGTTCTGATGCTTTGAAAAAAAGACACGGTTGACAATGTAAATCACAGCAAGTTAAAAAAAAACACAGAAGACACTCTGGCTCCACAGCAGCATTTTCAGCCAGGTTTAATCGGTCCGGTTTCCTCGGGCTCCATTTGTCTCCTCTCCTTGGGGTGTTGACTATGATGGCAGGCGATTCAGGCAGTCTCTGCTGTGCCACACCCAACACCATTCTTCAGTCAGACAATTAATGTTGGCAGGTAAATTGATAAATCGACATTGGAGTAATTTTTCTTTTGGCGGGGGGGGGGGGGGCGTGATAAGAGAAGAATAACAATCCTGTCCTAGCCTGATATTGTATCGAGATACACACACTTACAAGTAGAGTTAATGGATAGTGAACACAGGTGAATGTTCCACCAGTAAAGCAGATATCATTGCAAAGGCAGCGTTAAGTTATCATCCAGCCTCATTTTCCTGCCTCTAAGCTTTTGAGCATTCACCCAAAAGCTCCTCACCTTCCTTCCTCTCTCCCTGCCTTCAAAACATTTTGCTGTCACTACACCTCACAGTATATCCTGTGAAGGACTTTTGAGATGTCCTCCAGACATAAAAGGCGCTATATCAAATGTAAGCATTACAAAACATCTCTTTGATCATGCTTCTGGTCTCCATCCCTAATTCTACTTTATTTCTTGCTGTTTAGAACTCAACATCAAGGCTGTTAAGCACTTCAATGCACTGATCCTTAGTTATTATTATTGTTAAATTAAAGTCAGGAGCGCTCGATAAACAAATATACATCACAAACCTAAATAGCCACCACTGGCGTAAAGGCGACATTCAGATATAATACAAAATTACATTTGTACAGGGTCTTTCACGTCAGGACATCCCAAGGTGCTGGAATGTATTTTACTTTTTACATTACAGGAGCTGGATCTGTTAAACACTGAAAAAAAAATAGCCAACTGGAATAGGTGTCTTTAAGAGTCTAAATGGGCAGAGTTTAGAGTAACCTACTAAACTGACTCATGCATGACCTGCTGAGCCCAGACTCTTTTACAGACCGCAGAATATCTATAGAAAACAAAAGCACAAAAAAAGCAAAGGGTTATCACATCCATAAAGAGAAATATTGAGTTCAAACTCCCATTGTTTTCCAATAGGAGGGAGAGTGACCCTCGACCCTCAGCTGAGATAGAATGGAAACACTGAAGTTTGTGAAAAAAACAAAATGCGTCAATCACTTTTCCTATTAACTGTTTGAGAACCACGGTGAATGTGGGCATTTCTGAAAAGCTAGGGTGAATTATAACTGCCCAGTCATTTAAAGATATCCTTTTAACAATGCTTTAGTAACACTAATTACTGTAAAGCACAGAACAGACTTGTCCAACTAGAACCACATACCCGAAGGGCAAAGGGTCTCCAGGCTAAGGGCATATCTACACCTCTAGGTCTGTCTTGTATTACAGTGGACTTTTTTGGCTAAGCCACATGCGTCTACTTGGAGCTGGTTCTATTTCAACCACACGTTAACCCGCCTCCATTCCCCTCTCCATTCGTCCAGTGGCATCAGTCCACTTTTGTTGAACGTTACTTCATGTAACTCGTTTCTTCCCAAAAAGTAACAGTGAACAAATAGCACAAGAAACAAAGGTGCTATTTTTCTCTCAAAGAGATGGTAATCAGTTCACCTACTTTCAAAGTGCGAAAGGCTGCATAAACCTGTCAGCATTCGAGACCACAGCATTCTGGTGACCTACCACACTGTGGTCTATTAGAAATAAACTGGGGAGAGCGTTGTTGTAGGAATCCAGATCGGATTCCCAATTCGCTCGAGTTGTCAATTTCAACTGAATCTCCGCTAGGAGTCCATTCACCTTCCAATGGGGAAAGTACAGTAAGTCACCAGTTGGTTGCTGTGTGCCTCCTAATAGCTAGTGAGAGACCATCATTACTAGATATAAAGGGAACAGCCCCCACCCTCACACCAATGTGAATGAGGTGCACATCCCCACACCTCATCTATTTTTAGGAGGAGGCAGAGGTTCGTTCCCCGCAGTCTCCAACACACTCTTGTCAGAGTGAGCTCAAGAGAGGCTCTGGTCTGGCTGTGGGGAGGAAAACACATGTAAACTGCTGGGTGGAGAACATCCACAGCATTCTCCTGGGTCTTTGCAGCCTGAATTGAGAATCTTTTAACCTTTTGCAGACTGAAGTGTAGCATATCACTTACATAAAGAGAAAGAACTGATCCACTAGAATAGATAGTTCGCTGAAATGTTGAAGACCAACTTGGATACACAAGCTCAGATAATCAAATGGTTTTCAAGAGTACCCCAAATAGTACCCTATCTATATGTGTGCACTGACTTACACACTAACACAAACACACACAGGGCAGTGTGCAGCTTTGGGGTTTGTTATCTCTAGGAATGTAAAAGGATTGTGTGGTGCTGGGAGTTTGTGATGATCTTCCCAGTTTGCAGATTGACTGTGAGTAGAGGGGGCTGGCCTAGTCCTCTTTTTCACGCTGGTATATACTGGTGGAACTTGCTGTCCACAGCTGTACATTGTACAGAATGTAGTGTACTTTATGTCTTTACAGATGGCATTGTAATCACATATGCTCATTACGCACGTTGTGTGTGTTTTGTTGTT